CTAAACATTTATGCTTAGTGACATAGTATCTGACTTGAAGAATATATAAATACCCCTTGAAATTTCTCCACTGACGTTTAAAACGACTTTCAGGTTAAGAAACTTTTACTGAAATTTCTTATATACATATCAATTTCTAAAAGCTTCAACTTGATAATTACAAGACAACAGATGACAATAGCTACCTAGGTGTGTACTATGTTCTCAGCATAACAATCCAGAAAGTTAGATGTTGTGTCAGTCATAGTACATAAAATTCACTGAAGTTAACAGTTCTTATTATAGCAGTAATCATCCATTCAAAGGTTCAAGAAGTATACATATTACTGTTTACTCATATGAAAAGCTTCCAATTTTAAAATGCCTCAGATTTGACATTAATGCAGCGAATATAAGACGAAAAAATATAAGGTTAAATAATTTCCTGGATGGCAAAAATAAACTCAAAACGTGATCCAGGTATTACAAGGATTCTGCCATCATCATCGTCATCAAGGAATAATGCAACATTCATTATGTCATGGAAAATGTGTGGTGGTATTGGAAAGGTAACCTTCCCCCGATAGTCATTGACTGCCTAGTAAATTTCTCTTCTAGGCTTGATTAACTATCTAATTATCATTTGACTATCTAAGATAGTCGTAATTTAGTCTCTGGTTCGAATCCGGCCGCGGTCCAGATTATCATCTCACCTTCAATCATCACCCAGTATAAAAACTATTTAATTACATATTACTGCAATTAAGCCGATGATACTTTTGTTGTTTGTGATAAGGCGAACCATGCGTTAAAGCTATTCAATAACTTCAACCACGCTCAATAGAATATGAGAGTAAAAGCAGATTCAACGTTTTGACTCTAAGAATAAAACAGAGATGTGTCTGGTACAACTGAGAAAACCATCCACAAGAAAAACACATGGACTGGTCACTAACTGCACTACAATAGTTTTTTTTCAATTTGGAGGTTTGTGAGGATTCATTGATTGTAGGTTGGTATTCATCATGAACTGACATTGGGTGGAGGAACATTAGACACCTGGGAGCACTGGACAGCTGTTTCGTCCAAGCATGAGACTCCTCAGCAGTGCGCACCCATGACCCCACCAGGGACCGAACCCAGGACCTTCAGGTTCCGCGGCCACCATGTAACCAGTCGGTTCATGATAAGTACCAACATAAAATCAATAAATCTTCACAAACCTTCAGAATGAATTAATCTAGTCGTCACTGGTGACTAGCTTTGAGAAGAGATTACCAAAGTTCGAGTGAGAAGTCGTGGCTGGTGAGGCCAACCAAGTCGAACATGAGGACAGTAACCCAACGACGGCGTTGGATGGAGGTCACGGTATATTGTGGACTGATAGAAGTAGGAAATGTGGACCATCTGATTCCGACCCAGTGGCTCAACGGTAATGTGCTGGCCGTGGAACCCGAAGGTCCTGGGCTCGATCCCTCGCAGGGTCACTGCTGAGGAGTCCCATACTAGGATGAAACAGCTGTCCAATGCTCCCAGGTTTCCAATGTTTCTCCAACTCATATCAGTTTATGATGAATACTAACCCGAAAATAATAGTTTCTGTCCTATCAGCTATGAGCGTGGTTTAGTCAAAAAGCTCTTCACAAGAATAAGAACGTCATGCTCAAAAAATAAACAAGAAGAAGAATTTACTATCATTGCGAAGAAACCTGTTTTCTTTCATCTGGTATTCAAGGGTGATGAGACATTTGAAAGAATATGCAGAAGAATAAAAGCTGAGGTGAGGAGTTCCTCTGCTCCCAGACTGATTTCAGTTTACAATACAGCATATTCAATAACACAGTCATATGTGGACAAATACTCAAGTTCACGTCACCTCCAACTGTGTATATCAATTCACCGATGCTTGTGAAATCAAGTGCATAGAACGGAGCGAAAACAGGGCGTCAACTCGAATTTATGAGCATATTCCGAGAAGTTTGAGTCTGAAAGATGGCGAGGTCTTTGTCAGTGCAATCGCCAGGCACCTAATGGAAACAGGACATCAAATAGATTTTTCTTAGTCCTTCCGGATAATCAACGAACAAAGAAAGTCATGTTTATTACGGCTTGATGAAGCTCTCGCCATCAAAAATTTTCAACCTGATCTGCGTACTCACAAAGAGACTGTAATTAACCTTTCTTTAACCTTGTAACTAAATATAGTTTTTTGCATGTATATATATATATATATATATATATATATATATATATATATATATATATATAGGTTTTCTCTTTTTGTCTGCATCATCTCTTTACTAATTACTTACCGACTGGCGTTTCTCCAGTTTTATCATATGATTACGTAATTTACTAGCCCTTTAACAACCCCTTCTTTTACACTCCTGTTTGTTTCCCCCTCCCGCCTTTTCCACAGTTCTAGAATTTTCTACCTCATCACTGCCGTTGATTCTGACTAAGATTTGTGATTATTAACCCTGGATTTTGAATCTGTATATATTTCTGCATAGCCAAAGTATGTTATATCATTGGTACTATTGCTAGTAATATTTCGTTTCAATTGTGGGCTGTTTGCACCTGATAATAGGCCGCAAAATGAAGCGAGCTCACTTTAGTCCACAAATGTCTTTCTCCTTGCTTCATTCAACTGATCATATATTATTTTATCTTTTATCTTTTATACTTGAGCAAAGTTAGACCTACATAAAATATGACAATATGCCAATGACCAGTCCACCAGTTTTGTTTGATCTTTGTTCAATCACAGTTATGATACATCAATCGGTTAGTATATTATCAGTAATTTCAATCACCTTCGAAGTGCTTCATTAACATCATCAAATATGCAGCTCTACAGACTTAAAGGTTTGGGAAAGTTTTAGTGCCTATGGTCATGGATATATAGGATGTGCTTAACTGGAAGTTAACAACTGATAATTCAGTTTGTTGTAGTTGATGAGAGCTATTCAGCTGAAATTACCTTTTAAATTGGTCAGATAAACAACTTGGCTCGTTAAAATTGCTGTAAATGGAGTGTGTATGTGTATGTTTGTAACCAAAAATAGAATTTTTCACCAACTTACCACCTAATTCACAATGGAAATTCAGTATTCTATGGTTGTTTCTATCGATTGAAAATCTATTTTGACAAAAAGATCTTTAAAAGAAGTCTGCTTTTTCAAATTATTGATTTATTCACTGAAAACAGAAACTTATTACAGCATAGATACCGAGCTGTAATGGTTCACTGGCTTAAGCATTTAACTCTCAAGTAATGGGTACCTGAATTCATCTAATCCTATCTGTGCATGCAGATAGTATTACAAACCGTCATACAGAAAGTAGAGTCTATAAGCTGGTACATAAACACCTCTACGGGACTAAGCTGTTGTCGCTTTTCAGTCAACAGATATTATTTAGATATGCAAGTGAAAGTAAGTAAAATGAGTCTGAACCTTGTAACCGACTAGGTTGATAATAGCATATTCACATCAATCAGCCATTTCATAACTAAATAAGAACTGTCCCAGATTAACTTTTGGTTACGCCCATACTAATGGAGTCGACTAAAAACAGCATAATACAATTATTTTCATTCCCTTAGTCATTGAGTACGCACACACATAGATAGGAAGATCGTTGAAGGTAAATATTTGGAGAAAAAGATGAACCATAAACAGTATACAGGAAGCAAGTTGCCACACTATAAATCGGCGAATTCAGGGTGGAAGTCAACAGGAGGAAAAGGGAACTCAGAATAACATTAACATTAGTAATTGTAAAAAGCTCTAAGACAGAGATAAAGAATGACAAATGGATATAAATATTTTGATAAAGGTAAGATGTGGATGTGTCTCAATCACTAAGAATTTGTATGACATCCCGTTGTTCCCAGCTATCTATTTAAACCGCCTCATGGACCTTGGTCGGAAAGCCTACACACCTCAGAGAAACATCCATAGACTCTATAAAGTGTTGTGTCATGCCTTGGTTAGACCAACTTTAGCTTCCTTTGGACCTAGTCTTGTTTAAGTTTCGTAGCATATTGCTTTAGAGGGTGGCTCTGGATGTGTGATGCATATATCTAACTACCTATCGAAGGACGAGTATACTACAATACAGTACGTTCTGTGCTGTTATACGGCTGTGAGACATAACCGTTGAAAGTGGAAGACATGGAGCGATTACACTGTTTTGATCACAGATGTCTTCGTAGCGTTGCTCGCATTTAGTGAAATCATTCTGTGTTGAGGTCAGGTGAAGGGTGCTAGGGAACACAGGCAATTCAGTCGATAAGGTTGTGAACCTTAGTTGGCCGAGATAGCTTGCATATGCCAAGCCACAGCCTACCTTGATTTGTCATGCTACGGGAAGTTGGGTTAGGCTGGGAAAGAGTTCAAGGTAGCCAGACCAAAACGTGGCACCACTCCGTGAAGTGCCCGATTGTTGGTCTGAAGCCTGTGGGGAGATGTGGACTGCCTGGTTGGGGTCTCCGAGACGAAAGGAATCATTGGTTGAGGAATCTTATTGATATGGCTGGAAATTGGTTATAATAATATATTCGCAAGCTTGGATGTTTAGACTAACTATTGTCTTCAGCTTGTTTATTCTATCACACAACTTTGTCTACTTTCATATCACTCTTTTCTACCCACCTATTCTTAGTGTACTACTGTGAAGTGTGGTAACTTGAGCCGATAGACTTTTGTGCGAAATTCTACGTTGATTTTGTAGGTGTCAGTCAACTTATGCCCATTCAAAACCATTGCTCAGAGGTCTACAACTAACCTCGATACTACTCATCAGTATGGTTCTATAAATTGTGTACCGAAGAAATCCGTTACTGTCACATCTCCTCCACCCCCAAATCACAATCCTCCCGGGACAGAAATTTATAATTACTAGATCAAAAAATATTTCATATATATATATATATATATATATATATATATATATATATATATATATATATATATCATATGACAACAGATGTGAACAGACAACAAAAGTGATCATACCCTTGCATTTGCAGATGGGATGTTTTGGTCACTGACTGAAAAATTATCATTATTGTTATCCAACTGGAGATTTCTTGCAGCTGTTGCCATATTATTCTTATTCGATACTAGACTAGCGATAACAGAAGATAACGGTTCTTCATCATTGTTCACTAACGGTCCACGCGGTATCAACTGATTGATTGATCGAGCACTACTACTACTTTGATCATGGTCCGATACATGTTGACGATAAAGATAACTTGATGGTGTTTTGGAAGTGTATGAAGAATATTTTCCACTGGAAAATTTCTTTCCATAAAGCGTAGCAGTAGTTTTAGAATCCAAAATTGCAATTTCATCTTGTTGAAGTGTATTATTACTGCCTTGAGTATTATTATTATTGTTGTTGTTAACATCAGTGTTATATGCATGATCCATAAGAAGTTTATGATTTGATTCTGCATACGTGTTGATAACATCATCATCAGAATCATCGCCGGTAACAGTTAAACCATGCAATTTATTAAATTTATTTTTTCTCAGTTTTGTGCACACAAGATGACGTGATTTTGCTGGATTTCCATCTGCATAACGTCTATTACCAAGGCATTAGGTTTTATAGAAAAAGTTAGAAAGAATGACAAAATTAGCATAGAATATTTAAAATATCACATCTGTGCTCTAGAGAAATGGTGAATTTCCGCACTTATTGTTATTAAGATCCTAGACATTCTGGGACGGCGAATCAGTCTGGCACGTCGAATTTGTAATAGCACGCACACACGCAAGGAGTAATACCCCCAAGAACTACAAAAATACGCGAAATGTGGGACAAATAGGTCCGAATTTAAAAGGTAATCAGTAATAAGAGAAATAAAAAGCCTGGGTGCCTTAAGGCCTTTCGGGTCATATAAACTATGGTGACCGTTTTTGTTGTTTAACAGACATCAATGAGCAAGCCCATAGTTTTTCCACATCACTTATTAAAAGCGACCACTCCAATATGTGATAAGGTGTATTCTATTCTTATAACCTGGTCACTTTGATTCTACCACACTTTATGTGAATATCAGAAAGAGAGTATACAAATTTTGCATTATAGTGTGTACATCATGTTATAAATTGGGTAAGCGTGATCGATTTCATGCTTGCGTTCATCTATTAAAGGAGGAGTATGCTGCGCTGCAGTACGTTCTGTCCTGTTATACCGCTGTGAGACACGACCGTTACACGTACAAGATATAAAGCGGCTACAGGTTTTTGATTACAGGTATCTTCGTACCACTGTTCGCGTTTACTGGAATCATTATATGAGTAATGTTGAGGTCAGGCGAAGAGTACTAGGCAACGAAGGAAAGTCAGTTGATGAGGTCACGTACCTTCATGGATCGAGATGAATTAGACATGCGTTGCGTGTGCCGAATAACCGTCTACTTCGACGTCCGATGCTAGAAGGTTTAGGGTGGTCATACCGAGATGTGGCATCAGTCGGTGAAGTCCCTGACTGTTGGTCTGAGTGGTGTGGAGAGATGTAAACTGACCCACTGGAGTCCTCAAGAATCAGCGGTTGATGACTCTTGGTGACATGTCTGAAAATCAGTCACAATGGCGCAAACGTATTTACGTCTTGACGTATTCTGAAGCTTGACTATTCTAACTAACCTTAGTCTTAAAATTAGTTATTTTCTCACACAACCTTGTCTACTTTGATGTTACTCGTCTTCTATCCCCTTGCTCTTTGTATACCACTGTGAAGTGTGGTAACTTGAGGTGATGCACTTGTGTGCGAGATTCCACGTTGATTTTGTGCATCTTGTGTTCACTCTATAAAATTGTCCACGTTGATTGAGCCAATAGTAAGCGAAGTCGGACTGAAATTCCCCCCACCAAGCAAGTTGGTATTCGTGCAGTGGGCGATAAGCCACATCTTTCGTCTGAGGGTTAATGGCGCTACCTGCCTGCCCATACTTCAGTGGGTGGAGGGGGGTTAGAACCCGTGGTACACTGGTTAAAAGTTAGCTGCCTAAACCAATGAGCCATAGCTCCAGTCAACATTTAGCAGCTTGTAGCCGTAAATTACTGACCTGGTGGGCAAACCGTTTGATAGTAATGATCAATGGTGGTTAGTAGTGCCATCCACGATGTGGGTTTCTTCCTATTCCGGACTAGTCAACTCGATGTGTTGTCCACACTAACATTCGAACCCAGGACTGATCGCTTCAAACACCAGAGCCTTATCCACAAGGCTACTGAGTTATGATAGCCACTTCTTGTGGAATGGGTAGTTTTTATACAATTGCTTGTAATTTCCCGTTGTTGATTGGACAGAATCGATCGATTTATATTGGCAAATAGGATCCTATGCGGATGCCCCTATATTGCTGATATTTTCAGTCTCGATATCAATGATATTGAATTATGTATTGATGGTGGATTTAATGTTGATTATATCTGAGTCGTAGATGCAGTTGAATCCAGTTGACTAGTTAAAACCATGACGAAAAACTGCCATTAAGTGCTACCAGTCTAATAGTGAACGTTTAAAAAACAACTCTCAGAAACCTATTATGCTGATCTATTTGAAGAGAAGGCCTGTTGTTGGAAAATATAGCACGTGAAGTCACACCTTTACAAGTACACAGGTTTCACTTATCAAGTACGAAAAACACTTGAGCAAGCACAAATCTTGGTGAAAGTAAACCTGACACCAAGAAAGCTTACAAAGTCATGAACATGAGACTTGGCATTACCGCGTAACAGTTTGAGTTGCCACATCTCAATATCACACCCAGCCCAACGTTAGGTAGTAGGTAAACTAATTTTAGTCTTAACTAGTATCAATAAAAAGAGATGCCAATGGGATAAAATGCATGTTTCATGTAGAAACTAACCTCCAGCACACACACAAACACAAATAGCATACACAAGAAAAACGATACGCTGATTGTAATGCCTTGTAGTTTCTATTAGTGGATTGGATCAAGTTGATCTTCCACTGATGGCATATAAATACCCTGTGCGGAAATCTCGATACTGCTGGGAATCATGGTTTCGTACTAAGAATAATGGATAGTAGTCATTAATGGAATCAAGGACGCGCAGTTTCGCCCTGTTTACGACTCGTCAGCTGGAAGTAACTACCTCTCATTGAGTAATTTTGTTCACACTCATCCAGTTTCACTTCGACTATGATGCGTAGCTATGGAAATTTAAATATTCAATGATTCAGTTCATACCGTACACATTTACATAAACTTACTATGAGACAGCTTATGATACTACTTGGTCGCCCAGGTCAAAATAAGAGAAGGGTTTTGCAGGCTTAAATCACTAAACACATCTCCCTAAGAGAATTCGCAGTAAATGCAAGCAATGACAGTGGAGAAAACGAAAGGGAAGATATCGGCGTTGGTTAATACTAAAGTTAAGTTCATGAAACATACTGACCAGATGGTTGGTGAAACTCCTTCTAATAGGCAGCTCCAATGTTGAGCGGAACATTTCGAGGACAATCCAGTCGACTGACAGTCAAACCTGATTTGCGCACAACCAGTTAACTGTTTGGAATACAACATTTACATTGATCCTTCAACTTTCATCAAAACAGAATAACAGATATGGCTCATCGGTTTAGGCATTTAACTTTAGAGAAATAGGTTCCAGGTCAAAGTCCAGCTGTGCCTAATTCAACCTGGACAACCTAGCAGTATCACTAATCCTTAAAAGTGTGTCTTATGGCGCAGTACATAAATATGTACCAGGTTGAATAACACCAAGTTATCAAAAGTAATTTCAAGTTTGATTACGATAACCTAGGTACTGGTTAGATTATAAGAATCACATGATCCGGGTTAAATTGGCTTGCATCATTAGTCATCAGTTTAAAAAAGAGGAGAGGAATCTACCTTTGATAACCGTAAGAAAGTTGGCTAGACTAAAATAGTTTGCAGAATTACACGACACATTCATTTGATAGCTAACAGGAGTTTAGAAATAACAAATCTAAGAAAACCAAATAGGTTTTAGCGATGAACAGGATTGTATTGATAAGATCTTCACTCTTCAACACGTTCTGATGCACAGATACACTGGGCGGTGCCCAAAATTCGGGATATTTCTTGACCTCCAGACAGCCTTCAGCGCCGTTGAATGATAGGTGCAGCGGTAGTCGAGTCCCAGGAAAAGTATACTATCCCAATCTAAACTCTCTACCCTAATTCTCACTGCAGTGTTTAACTTTGTGGATACCTGGTTCATTGGATTTTGCCCTCGAGTTCCAAGCGGCGCGCTACCCATTTAAATCCCGCCTCATCTATCAAGGTACAGACGATTAGGCAGCACTGCCAGCTTTCACAAAATGAGTGCAGTTCATCACGTACATCAGAACCTACGCACAGTTATTGAGTCGGGTTTGGACTTATGCAGTTTTATGTATGCGCCATTTAGGCTAACGACAATCAGTAGTGTTCACTGGAGATATGTGCTCTCTGTTTCTGTGCAACTTCTTTATGGATGTATTGATGGACATGATCCTGCTTACGTTCGACTACATATATTGATTTGGTGTCAGGAGGGTATTTAGTCGACCATTGGTGACACAGCCCTATTAGGTGAAGATAATGACAAAATAGAATTTTCTAAATGCATTGAATAAATAACTAAGTGTTTTTAGCATACATTTCACACCCCAAAAATGTAGGATACTTCAGAACCTGTCTCCATTGACATCTAGTTTAAAAAATATAGAGTGAAGTGATTGACTGCATAAACCAATTCAACTATTCGAGAAGTTATATAAAACCCGACCAGATGATTGCCGACAAAATCTCACTGCAGAAACAAAAGGCCCGTTCAGCACCTGTCACCAGAAAGTATCTTTGGTGGTGCCTGCTAAACTTTTGACGATCTGTTAAAGGATGAGTGTACTTTGCAGCAATTCATTCTTTCTGTGTATGACTAAGACATTGCCGATGAAGGTAGAAGATATGAGACCACTAGTTTTTGAACACATGTTTCCACAGCACTGCTTGTGCGTGGTGGAACCACGGAATTGGAAATGTAGAGGCTACGTGTAAAGTGCTAAATAGACAGGACAAGTTGATCGATAGGATCGTGAACCTTTGCTAACTGAAGTGGCTAAGGCGAGGCACTGACTACTAGGATGTGAAATTTTAGACGAAATAGGACTAAGTTGGAAGAATTCCTAAGGTAGACAGATCAAGATATGACGCATCTACGATGCAATTATTACACACTAGTAGTAAGGTGTTATCGTGTGAAGTAAGACTGACAAAATCCTCATAAGAAGCCATATATCCCTGAGGCCTTTCACAACCAATCGTTTTGCCCCGAAGTTTCGGGAAAAAGCACATGAACCAACGTGAAAACACCAGATTGGTTGGAGTGACAAAAACCACAGAGATATTTTAATCTAGAAAAGGCTGGAAATAGTTAGGGTCAGTGTAAAAAATGTATCATCCATCGCATTACGTATACATTTTGACGTTGTATTACAGCTTTAATTCTACCGTCTTTTTAAATTACCGAAAAGCTGAGCGACTATCAAGGGGTGGAACCTTGAGGTTATTGTTCGAGTCAATATATATAACTCAAGTTATATCAAGTAATGTCTACAAAGATGTGACACGAAGAAACAACAAGGAAGCAGAGAACTCTTTGAATAGGTTGGGTGTAGCTCCATGTAGTGGCTACTCACCCAGCAGAAGGCCTTAGTCATAGCAGTATACGAAAATATACGTGGTTAATAAATCACTGAAACGGATAATTTAGCGATGAGACGTATTGTTATTAGGTATGGGTAATTAAGCTTAAGCAAACAAATCGCATAAATGTCAATGCAATAATTTTTTGCGACAGAGTAATACGAATATGTGGAGTAAAAAGGTTACTTAATGATATCTTACCGGGGAAACTGAGGTTCACAACAAAACTTTCGCCAGTTTAATAAACAGCCTAAAGTAAATGGATTTAACAGCCCACGAAACTTGTCCGTAACCTAAACAGAAGAAAGAGGATAATAGTCACAGTAATAACAAGAAAAGGACTAACATATTATGAATAAGTTGTTTATGCGCCTAAATGTGAATCTATTTACAGTAATATCGGCTACTGATCGCAGTCAGTTTTAAGGAATTCTGCATAAAACCAATCTACCCTTACAGTATTCTTATATGCTTTATAAATGACAAGTCAGGTCATACGATTTATTATCCACCAGAGATTCTGACTGATCTGGAAAACCATATTTTCTTAGGCCCTGCAAGAGATAGTCACAAATAAATATTGGAAGTGTTTGGTTTTTTAGGAAACCTATTTAGGTGCAGCGACAATTGTTTTCTTCGACCTAACAGTAATTAAGTTCTTCTGAGAAGATTTTGAGTGCTTGAAAAAGATACAACCAAAGAAAAGTTGTTGAGCGAAATGTTGGTAAGGACTTTAAACTTGTTGACGTTGACACTTTTCACGAAGGGAACAGGGTTTCAACTAGGAGGCTACCCAAGTTTTGGAACCAATCAGTATGAATAGCTTTGCTAAATCTATGTCTCCCTATTGAGTCACATAATTCGTTTATTAACCGCTATGCACTTCAAACAGACATGTTAACAGCAGTAAAAAGGTATTATGAAGATAGGTGTGTCACAGATGGATCAAGGAAAAAGCTACTGTCCAATACAGTTGTGTTGCGTTATCTCGTTTAAGATAGTTGAAAAAACATACTGATTTTATCAAATCAAAGATGATAGGACTAGTTATTTCTTAAATGGGTTCAGATAGTTCAACCTTAGAAGTTTAATGAGTTCATTTAACCTACAAAAAAAATATCAAATCAACACCAAAAGTACTCAATGACGCCGTAGTAGCTAACAGTAGAATTCAGTATGCGCGTTTCGTCCTATTTGAAACACGCCAGCTGAAAGTACCTGCCTCTAAGTGAATTATTTTGTTCCCTCTGTGACACTAACCCAGCACCCATTGATTCATCAAACGACAGAGCGTTGTTCATTAGGTTGCTGAATCACGATAGGCATTCCTCGAAAAGTGCCTTGAATTCAAATGCTGGTCACTAGCCTTTGCCTGTTTCCATACCAACTTTGCTTAGCAATGATATCAGAGATAATATTAAAAGAACATTTATTGGAAACTAACCTGCTCATTGGTTGTCATCCCTCGGGATATTAGATATACGTGGAATGAAGTTAGTCCGAAAACTGGAATGAAACTAACACCAACCAGGGATAATACAACAATACTTTAGTATTGAGTTAAGGTGATAAAATGGATTGATTAATTGCTGTTACTGTTCGAATAATAATTTCATTGCCCACATTTTCAGCTGACACGAAGATAAAATGATTCAACTAAATATTTTATGAGATATTCAACCGGTCTCTACAACTGCATGATGAAGATACTTTTACAGTTATACTGTCACATATTTCTGTATATCAAACCTTACTACACGACAGACAGCCAAACAGACAGAATCAACGTAGAACGTCGCTTACAAGTGCATAGGTTTAAGTTGCCACACTTCACAGTAACATGAAAAGAACAAAAGGATAAAAAGTAACGATATTAAAACAGACAAACGTGTATGCGAGAAGACAAAATATGAGAATAAAAGATAGTGAGAATATTCAAGCTTTAGATATCAAGGAGTGAATGCATCTACACCTTTATGACCGACTTTCAGCCAGGTCACCTAGAATCTATAACCACTGATTCCTGTCATCTCGGGGACCCCAGCCAGGTAGTCCACACCTCCCCACACGTTTTGAGTGGACAGACCAACAGACACTTTGTAGACTGGTGGCACATCTTGGTCCCACCTTTCTGAGCCTTCTTCTAACCTAATCCAAATCCTCCTAGCATGGTGCATCGAGATAGGCTGTGACTCAGCATACAAAGTAAATATCCAAGCCACCGCGATCGGTGACGGTTTACAACCTCATCGGCTGACTTGCGTTCCTTGCGTAGTACCCTTCGTTTAACCTCGACATTGCTCACGCCGTAATTCCACCATAAGTGAGCAATTGTACGAAGACATCTATGATCAAAACACTGTAACCGCTTTGTCTTTGACTTTTAACGACCATGTCCAATAGTCGTGTAACACGGCAACGGACTGCAACGCAGTATGCTCAACCTTTACTGGGTAGTCGGATAGCTCGCTAGTCGGCGCTACAGATGACGCTAGTTCCCAAATGCCAAGGGAGCTTTCTGTATCTCAGCTGAGATTTCGTCAGCAAGCACCCAGTTAGGGCTGATGTAACTTCCCGAGTTAGTGAAGTAGTCAATCTATTTCACCATTTCACTCCCTATCCTTAAACCGCAAGTAATTGCAGACCAAACCTTCAGCATCAACTTACATATGACAGGTGAAAAACGTGTGCCAAATATATTCAGATTTCTATTCAAGTGTTCAAGAGACCCTGCATTTTGTCAGCATTTACACCTAACAGGACAATATCGTCTGCATACTTCAAGTAAACCAGATGCATACACACAACTATATAGATACTAATTAGTCTGGAAACATCAATTCTTAAGAAGCCTAATTCGATTCCTTGGTGAATTTAAATTTCAAAAGTATATTTATATAATACAGTATTTCTTAATAGAAAGCTAATCTTCCTTGATGTATTTCAACCATTACATTTCAGACAATACTTGAAAATATTGATAACACAATGTACTATCTACAATAAGCATGTTTCTATAAAACATGTACGGCATAGTGAATTAATATGTTCTTAATTCTTAACTACACTTTGAGTGTTATCCCAATAACAATGTTATGGGAAGTTCTGAATAGATTTCTTTCAATATTCACAGAATGATAACATCATTCACCCCTGATCATGGCGGTAAGTAGCATAGATTTTTGTGGTAGCAGTACTATGAAGTCCTGAACGCTTGTAAACTACAAGATTTATTCTTTAGATCTTGAGGATTTACTGCTTTTGACAGTATTTTAAAATATTCTACTACAGAAGCTCCAGGAAAGAGATATCAGAAAAACAAAAGGAGCTCCTAGAGGAATTGATCTATGGTTGTGAAAAAGCGCACATTAGTAACGAATATCATCGTGTTTAGCTTTATCAGCCAAACCAACCCAATGGCCATCATAGCTGAGGTAAGGATCTTATTGAGTTTATATGCATCAAGTAGTAAAAATAACAAATAAGACACCTTAGAAGATAATTTAAATGCTTAAGCCAACTTTAAATAGTTGAGCATTTGGAGAGGAAGTGGGATAAAAAGCGGCTGACCAGTTTTCAACGTTCAAGGAATGTAATGAGAATGGTGTGTAGAAGAGTAATGAGTCAAAGTTGGTAAAAATTAATTCTTGACTTGACCGAAACCTTGCACCAAATGTTGAGAACAAAACGTACTTACAGAGTACCACAGAAGAAATGCCTGAGACCAATACTGATGCTATTCTAAAAAGGCGAAGTCTAGTCATCACTAAGCAATTCAGCGGCTCTTGAAAGATGTTTAAATGAGTCAGCGCAAGTTCGTCACCACTCAAGTTTCTTCTGCTCTCAACCAATACTAAATATAGGCCTACGTACATAATAAGACAAGTAACTTGAACGCTAGGGTGAACGGTAATATTAAATTCAGGTTCTAAAAGGATACCGTATAATGTTCGTATAAAAAACGATCGGTTGCTCATTGAGTAAGAGAGATGCTAGAGTTATACTGAGGACAACAATCATGTGCAGCGTAAGCGAAACTAGAAACATAAAGAAGTAGCGTGCATTTCTCCTTCCGATACAGTTGTTGACCCAAGGGCAATGGTGGTCAAAAGTCTACAGACAAGAAATAACATCAAACTTCAAAGAACTACTTACATCCACACACCGGTTACATATAGAACAATGTGAACACCTAGGAGGACGATAGAAAAGACATGTACTACACCATTTGACTTTAGCCAAGACCCCGTTAATATTATATTCCCGATGCACAGGGGCAGACTTTGATTCTTCATATTCAGCTTCTCCCTCGGTAGCTGGGCAGAAATATATATGATAAAAAAACTTACCAAAGGGAAAATAACCGGGATCCATAAATGTTGTACGCGTTAAACAGCATAGCACATATAAAACTAGAATAGCATGAAGAACAAATATAGACCAAGAGTAAGTTGCGGCGAACTGGAAACAGCTACATTTTTAAGGGTATTATTAACTAAATCACGTTACATAAAGACGAGGTAGACTGTTGTTAAACTTATTATAAGACTCCATGCAACAACAGCGGGAACAACATCGGCAATTTTAGCTGTACACATAATATATCACATTTTAGTCGGAGAACCCAATCACCCGCTTTTTAGCCTTGGCATTTCGATGAGTGACCTTGAATAATAAATTGCAGTAGAACAATCAGCAGCAACTGATTATCCGCAAACATAATAACTGAAGTTTTTATGTTACGATAGAGGGAAGCCAACTGTTTTTTGAGTTCTGCTTTCTTGTTTTTATGAGTAAGTTTTAAGTGTTGAGCTTCGGTCGCTCCTTATTAGAAGTATTCGGAAAGTGATCAACAAAATGCTGAACTTTCAGATCCAGTTGTCAGACTTGTGTTTTCCTGGCCGCACTCTGTAGGTGTGCGGAAGGTTCTTTCTGTTCTTTCTTTTGACGATTCCCGTCCAGTCACATCCTTGGAATCTCATTTGATAGACTGGAGTTACATAATCGTGAGAAGCATAAGATGAGAATATGTGTTGTGAATTAACAACGTAACAGTAGAGATCACGGAAAAACATGGAAAACCCAAGAGAAAATAGTGCAGGCCAGTGAGCACTTCACCTTCAGTGTCTATGGTTCTTGATGTTATGGTGTACGTGACTATTCATTCATCCAATATTCGTTTACAGTGAACAACCTAGAGGACTGAAGGTATTTCTAGTGGCTAAAAAAAGTCTAGACTACTCGGGTTCCCTGCAGTTGGTACTGTACCGAAACCTTCTCTACTACTGTCCGGACTGTGACCAATTCATAACGGAAGATATTCTAGTAATGAAATGAGCGAAAACTTGAATTTGAGTCCCCAAAACTGAGACTTTCGAAACTCAGCTTACTTCTCATGCATCTTTTATGTAGTGAATCGGAAACCCATCAAGTAGAATATTTTGCTATGGAGAAGTCTGCGGTTATTATGACGTAAAAACTGCCTCTTTATTCTTTGACTGACCTACTTAGTTAACGACTGTTTGAGATTAGACCGGAATAACCGGAACGACTCATACTCATACCATCTACAATAGCTCCACATGCTAGACAAGCACATATGAAAGCCAGCCGTGATATTATTTCAGGCGTATCACGTCATCAAAACAGTAAGGTCGAATTCCAGGTATTTCTGTTTGAACACAGGGGACGATTCAACAGGCCCAAGTTAACATGATCCAGACAAGTTATTGCGTCCTACTTTATAGTTTCTCGGGCTTTCTTGAGTCATGGAAGATCTGAAGTTATGTTTTGGCATTATTAAGACACGATTTGACAAGGTAAAATTTGTCGTGCAATCGGGCACTAACAAGTTACATTAAAATTACAAAAACATCACAACAGGACAGCCATACAGTCCAAAGATTTATCTGGTGCAGGATACGCGCTATGCAGTGAATAATGGTTAGCTAAGTATAACTGGTAAATACTTGGGGATGGGAAAAAACATTCTAAACAAAATGGGATCACAGTTCTGTCAGCAAGAATCAAATCAGGCAATAAACCTTTCGAGTAGACGGTCGAGGGACCTGGGGTCACTTCACGGCGCAGCCGTGAGTTGAGCCAAACGAGGTGTCCAGAGCAGTAAGAAACAACGTCTCGTTGTCAGCGGTCCAGCGTCACACAGTAACAGGGTGGAGCATTAGAGGCAAATCCAAGTCAAAACAAAGCGAAATAATGGGGAATATATCCAAGAAGGAGGTCGAATGACAAAATAATGCTACACTGGACAGGGGTAAAAGGCAATGTCTACAGGGGGATCAAAGATATTCAAATGAATATTAATGCCGTCAAGTATAGTGCTCAGGAAGCCTGTTCAGGTCATTCACTTCGTTTTAACCATCACTCGCTTATCTGGCGTTTATAAAACCAAGACGGCCGTTCTATGGTCGACTTTCTATTGCAAGTAGACAGTTTGTATGAAAACAGCACAGGTGCAGAAGCTTGACCTGAAATCCTTATCAAGCAGTATACTTTTGCGATAAAGAGAAATTTAAACAATGTGATCAACTTGTCCTGGGCACACGAGGGGAAGTCGATACCAGATCTGATTTTGGATGCTCAGGAGAAGCAACTTCATATATAAGGAGGCAGTGTACTGGGTTTAAGGCCTTCGGACTTACAGTGGCGATGGGGAAATGAGTAACTTGAACATGCGGTGCTAGTATTCAGGGGCTGTTGTCATGGTTTTGGAAACCTTCAAATGCAATTTCAGGAAGTGATCACAATATTGTGGTCGAAAAATATCACCAACCACCTACTCATCACATTATCTGTACTTTAACCTCTCGCTACCTCTCGTACCGCTTCCCTTTCCCAGGAAACACGGTAACTGTCCTCTTTCCATAGCATCCCAAGTACCCACCAAAACCCACACGGATTCTGAACTTAAGGTCACGATCTTCAGCCAGCAATCAGGTGACCTAAGTTTGAACGTGCGAGAAAATAGTGCAAAATATGTTGGAGGTCTCCCACTATTTGAACAAAAATCTCCGTCTAACTGCTTCTTCTGTTTCAACTTTATATACCTTTACCATCTTTTGTCAACTCTTAAGACTCACAGGCAGCCAGTGCTCTTGTTCCAGAAATTTTGCTTCTTTTTCTCACTCCATCATCGGAATAACGCCACAGATCCCATAAACGTGCGTCTTGCATTCACATGCACTTCTTTTTACTGATCAAAATCTGCAATCCGTCGCTGTTTGTCACATGAAAACCGAAATCCGGGAGGTAAGAGTAGTTGCCTAAGTAACTGCTAGGCTTCCAGCTGGAAGGTCTCCAGGTTATGACGACTACCTCATTACCTCAATCTCCGGTAAATCTGTATTGGTTCCCTGCACGGCCTTGGAACTTCTCTCTCATATTGTACCATACAGCTGGGTCCTATGTCGCCTCACCACCACCTTCGCAATTATGCGACACCTTTTCCACTACAAAAGTTATTATCTTGCGGAATGCGATGAACCCGTAAACCGTGCGAAACGTAAGTGCACTGAGATCATGTTTCCTCGTGGAATTTATTGCGCAATGCACACGCTGCATGATCACTCACAAGCCATGAAGTCAACCTGGCAAACACTTCCATTGTCTATAAGGAACGCTTCTTAGTTGCTGTTAGAGCCTGTGTAAATGGCAGGCAGGCGATTCAACCTCCTTAACCCTTTACATGTTGCGAATGGCGTAATCTGGCCGAGAGGGAGCATTAGAGGACCTGAAGCGTCGTATCAACGTCTCCGGTTACCAGCAATAAGTTCTCCCGCTCTTCTACGTCGACAACGGTTGAATCATTTGGATATTACATTTTGACACTAGTGAAGAGGACCATTTTTCCTCAAATGCCGTTCCGATTGCCGATGCAGACTTTCAAACCGATTATTCATTTTGTTACCTAATGTAACCATTTCATAAAGGTGTGCCGAAGCCCACACTTCTTTTGTTGGTAGCCAGTTTGGTCGAAAGTATGCTCCAACACCACAACCCACCGTGTCAATTAGGCACACACTGTAAGCAAATCTGAAAGGCTACTAGAGAATGAAGTGCCACTTTTCAACACTACTTGTCTTGATAATTCAATCAGGGTACGCTTTCACGAGGGGATTGTGGGTCTAAGACCTGCTCATGTAGCACAACATTGTAAGCTTCGCCAATCGCTTAAAAAACTTCAAGGCACAAAACAAATAAAAATGAAAATAAACCTCTTCAGCTCTGGAATTTCGGGATACGAAATGACGCCGGTTGGTGAGGGCTTTCGGCAAGCCGATTGGCCAATGTGCTTTCTCTCCTCTCGACGAAAGCAAAAGTAAGCATGGAGTGAGAAAAAGAAGCAAAATTTCTGGAACAAGAGCACTGGCTGCCTGTGAGTCTTAAGAGTTGACAAAAGATGGTAAAGGTATATAAAGTTGAAACAGAAGAAGCAGTTAGACGGAGATTTTTGTTCAAATAGTGGGAGACCTCCAACATATTTTGCACTATTTTCTCGCACGTTCAAACTTAGGTCACCTGATTGCTGGCTGAAGATCGTGACGTAACATAGAAGTGCTAGGGGTCTGAGAAAGCAGATGAAATTAGCGTTCCCAACTGCTAACTGGAGAGGAGTCAATAACCCACTACAATATTGTCACCAAGACGACAACCACGAGGACACTGAGTTTTGGAGAGGCTGCCACGATGTCCCCTAGACCATCAAAGGCTCTCATGCAGTGGGAACCTATCTCCCCTGTAAGATCACGACAGTATGGATTCAAATCCAAAGGAAGGAAGGTCGCAAGCATACAATGCTACGCTACGCACCTACAAATAATGCAGATGAGGAGAAGAAGGAGGGATTCTACAGACAATTGCGATCAGTTATGGACAAGACCCCAGCCCAGATGGGGACCTCAAAATTCTAATGGGTGACGTGCGTCTTAAACTTGGGGCAGACAGCACAGGAAAAGAACTCATCATGTGTCGAGAGGCAACCTCGCCTGGCTAACTAGTTCACTAGTTACTAGCCTGTCCTAAGCCCGGGTAAAGGGGGAAGGTTGGGCACACGGCTAGCAACCCTATCCCGCAAAACAAATCTAACCGCTAAAGAAACTTCAGAGCACAAACAAAATATAAAAATAAAAACAAAATTATTCCTCCCTGGAATCAGAGAGGTGAAATGACGCCGGTTGGTGAAAGCCTTGTAGAAGCCATTTGGCGAATGTGTCTTCTCTATCCCGATGAAAGAGAAAGTAAACGTGGGGACATGGAATGTCCGCACCATGTTTGAACCCAGCAAGGCTGCCCAGATTGCAAAGGAGATGAGAAGGCATCACACTGAAGTGCTTGGAGTTTGCGAAAGCAGATAGAATATGAGTGGACTCTCCAAACTGTCAACTGGAGACGAGTGAATAATCTACTCCGATATTGTCACCCAGACGCCAACCACGACCACACTGAGTTTTCGAGTGGCTATCATGATGTCCCCAAGAGCATCGAAGGCTCTCATGCAGTGGGAACCAATCTCCTCCAGGATCATGACAGCAAGATGGATTCAACTCAAAAGGAAGGAAGGTCACAAACATTCAATGCTACACTACGCACCTACAAATAATGTAGATGAAGAGAAAAAGGAGGAATTC